TTTCTCTCTCCTCAGATTTAGCAACTCCTAGAAGTCTCCCTATTTTATGAGGTGGATAGAGAGCCTGGTTAAAGTTATATTTTTTCAATTCTTCCATAAACTTTGTTTAAGGAGGTGGTTTAGAGAGCCTATTGCGGAGTACTAAACACACCATTGGATTTGTATTATCATTTTCAATCTAATGCAATTCAATTCTACCTCATAATCCAATTTAATCACAATCACCAAACATAATCGAGGTATACTACGCGTAATTACTCTTAACCATTAATGTATATAAAACCCACCGCATCGCATGCTTCATGTTTCACAAGGTAGCATTATGTTTAGAGAAGAAAATGTTATGGCTTGGTATCTACAACCATCTACATGTAACATGTATGATTTATTGTGATCGAAAATATGGCTCATAAGCCTTAACTAGAGTGATATGAGATTTGTAGAGTGGTGAGAACGGAGATCTCGAAATCACGTATCTACAATTATCTCATGAATTGGGTTTATATATAATTAGGGGGTGCAGTATTTACAATTGGTTTATATGTTAAGTAAGGTGTACAGAAGATAATCATAGCAATTAGCACACACACACATCCTTGAGCTGTTTCAAAATGATCGCTACATTGCAAGCAAAGGCCTCAAATTATAAAACATTTGATTATACTATGTTTTTTTTTTTGGGAGTTTCACTATTATGCCCAATATAAGCCCCAAATTATATTAAAAAAAACTCTATATGAAATGTCCTTTTTTGGGGTTTTTTTTTATAGAAATTAAATAGTGTAGAATTTATCTATATCACTAGTGCTAAGAATGAATATATAACTAAATACCTCTTCTTTATTTTTTTTTGGTTTTTGCTCTTAACAATTAAAAGAAGAGTAGAAATGTAAAAATACAAGAATTGAACTAAACAATACAGACTCGAACCTGACTTGAAATCAAGGTGGTGAATTCCAACTCAACCAAATACACGCTTCTATTATTATCCTGCACGATTAAGTGTGTGTATATATATAATATATACACTTAAAAAAAAATTCGGGACACTTAAAAATCGGGGGCCCTGTGCGGTGACACCACTTGCACATCCTCAAAGCCACCCCTATCTTAGGATACGCAAGGCTGTTACGAACTTGTTTTTGGACATGACAGAAAGGAAAAAAAACAGTTAAATTCATATGAAATAAGTTGGTAAGCTTGCCGCATTGTTCTGTTTACAACTACTATTCGTTATACAACCAATTAAAGGGACCGATACATTGAATCGAATTTTTCATATGCAAGCCTCAAGCTAGTGAAGCTACACGTAAGATGAACCGACGCTATAATTATTTTCTTTCGAAAATACATGTGTGCTAGCTACATGTAAGAATTATACAATCGGAGGGCCGTGTCCGTCCTAATAGCCTCTAAAATCTAAGCTTAAGGATACTCATAATTATGCAAACTTTATATAACTGGTTTCACAAAAATTTGGTTATAGATAATTAACAAAGGCCTTATAGCTAGCTAGCTAACAAGTGGGTACCTGGCTTTGCACAATATTGCATGTAATAACTTAAGAATTGCCATGTTCAGTTATCTCAATACGAGTGTTATCCGTTGGGTGGGGGAGCTGTGTCTCTGTCTTGAAATACTCCTTGTGTTCAGAGACAATAAGCAGTAAATCAGAAGCTCGTATGGCAAAGACTTCAACTTTTTTATTATGAGACTTGAGAGTTTTGTCGGAAAAGGAGGTTGATGTCGCTGCCCAACTTATAAGTTCTTGTCCATAGAAATCAACCCCAGTAAGCCGACCTATAGTGTTTGACAAGCCACTTCCTCTGTTGT